TATCTATATATATATATATATATAAAGCAAATAAAGAAAGCAATCGAAGAGGATTTTTTTTTTCTTCTATGGACATAGAGGCTTGGTTACAACCCATCATGATAAACAAAGAAGAGAAGACTAAGAGAGTTTATTGAATTAGAATTTTAAAAAACTTTTTTTAATTTTAAGAATTTTAAAAAAAATTATAGGATTTTCATAACTTTTAAAAATTTCCAGAATTCTACAAGACTTTAAATTAGAGTTTTAATGGATTATGTAAAACTTTTAAGTCATGATTTTAATGAATTTTATGGGATTAATGAATTTTATGGGATTTTGTGAACTTTGTAGAATTTCAAATATTTTTGACATACGATAAGAGTTCAAATTTTTTTTTCATACATTCAAATTTAAAAAGAGTCAAAGACAAAAATAGTAAAATAATAATAATAATTCTCCATAATATTATGTCTTCCTAAATAGCATTTACCTACATATTCATAGTTATACTAGTCTTCTAAGTATTAATATCTTTTCGCTCTTGCTCTTGGGTTTGAATAATAGGCTCAAAATTATGATTTTCATTAATAGGTAATGTTGAAGATGAAAGTTCATTCACTGCTCTAATTGAAAATACATCAAAATGACATTTTTTATAAAGAAAGTTATGTAGTGCTACACATGCTAAAAATTATTCTAAACATTTCAAATTATTTATAATTTGTGATTTAAAATATTTTATTTATAAATTTATAAATGATTAAAAAAATAGTGGGACAACTACCCTAACTACTCTCTTATAACTAAATATGTCCCTACATTTTATATTGATTTTTGAGTGAAAGTTTATCTTTCATGCACTTTTATTCATTTAAAATATCTTAAAAATTTACAAACATCAACTAGGAGAAAAAAAAATATATCTGAAATTTGTTATAGGCACAAAATAATATTTTTAATTTTTTAATTATTTTTAATTATTCACTTGCAAAGAAATATTTTTAATATTAAATTCTAAGATACTGCAATGTCTTAAGTTAATTTTATTTTTTTAAAATATAAAAATCCTAACTTTACAATATAAAAATAAAAAAAATAAAATTCATAGTAAAAAAAGAAATAAAATAATTGTTGAGTCATAAAAAGGAGAAGGGATAATAGTAACAAATTCAAGGGAGGAAGAGAGATCGTAATTTTTGTGCTAAGAGGGTTCCTCCCTCAACTAAGATCCATTCTTATCTCATTCTCCTCAAAAAAATCCTAACTCAAATTCATCTTTTATATATATATTTTTTCTAATAAATCTAAATTAATTACAAGGTCTTGAATATTTATAATTGATCGTAGAGATTATAATATCAATTTCAGCTTTCACCTTTCCCTTTTCTTGATGTATGTTATAAAAAAATTACTATTTAAAAGATGAAATTTCAAGCGTTTTCTATGTTATATATAGAACAAAATAAAGGTCATTTAAAGAGAACGAAGAGAAAAATAGAGCAAGTCAATGATACTATCATTTACGTCTTGGAATTTCACCAAATAGGGAAATGGAATGAGAATAATAGTACAATATTATATATGAGCAATAGAGTAGTATTATTAGCAAAAAAGAAATGGAGAAGACACGAGCATAGAAAAAAAAGATAAAAAAATTCACTTAAAAATTCTTGAAGCAATTACTTCAAATAATCTTTCAAAATTTGATAGGTTTAGATGAGATTGTTTTATGAATTTGGTATCTATAGATACCACTAAAAATTCCTTCAAAATCTCTCTAATACAACAATCCTTTAAAATTCTTATATTTTTGAATACCAATAAATTATTTTTAAGTTACAAAAAATATTAAATGAATACTAATAAATTTTAGTGAACTTTTTAAAAAATCTTAAAAATTTAGATTGAACACCACTAGGTTATTTTTAAGTATATAAAATCTTAATTAAATACCAACAAACTTTTTTATTAAAAGAAATCTCTTAAAATCTTATGAGATATTAAACTAATACCCCTCTGTCAGGACAATAAGCATCAAAAACAAAACTGGGATCCCATTCCAGACAGTAAACTCAGTATTCTGACCATGCATGATTTGTTGGAGATATTGTCCCTGTTACGAATTAAAATATATTTATTAATAAGAAAGATCAGCCGAACTCTGATAAGTACACGTTATAATTCAATATTTGGCTCGTGGGAAGTTATAAAATAGGATCGCATCTTCACCATGTGGAGCAGCTGGTAACATGGTCGTCATTCGGCTACCAACGCGCGACGTGTCCCCAGATTCTTAGGAACATCGCAAACCATGTATATATATATATATATTTACAAATGTATATATATGTTGCTACTTTAAAACCCGCCAGCCATATTTGACGTCACTCAAACTGTTTGAATGACTAAGCCATGGTTAAAGTCAAACATGCATATTCTCCCGTTCCTTCCTCAATCTCAATATATATCCCAACACATTCACCAAGAGGGAAAGGACCCCACACAAAACATCGCCAAAACAAACTGATCCAGTGATAGTTTTTGTTTCTGAGATTAATTGCATTAAAGTTATAACTTTTTTTTTTCTTTTTCTGGTGGCATCATGGAGGGTGGCGGGAGTTTCAGGATTGAAAGTTCATCCATTTGGAGGGACAGTGACGCCAAGATATTCTCAAACTCTATCCACCAACAGGAGGACGATGAAGAGGCTCTCAAATGGGCTTCCATTCAGAAACTTCCCATTGTTTCACGTTTGAGGAAGGCTTTGCTCACTTCACCAAATGGGGGAACCAATGAGATTGATGTACACAAACTTGGGTTGCAAGAAAAGAGAGCTTTACTTGAAAAACTTGTGAAAACTGCTGAAGAGGACAATGAGAAGTTTTTGCTCAAGCTCAGGGATAGAATTGATAGGTGAGACACTCTCATTTCTTCTTCTTGATTCTAATGTAATGAAGGTGTCTTTGATGGAAATGCACTGATGGATGGCTTCTTCTCCACCTCGTTTTCTTCCTTGGACTGGATGATATGATAGAGTTGGACTCGATCTTCCTACTATAGAGGTTCGGTTTGAGAAACTGAACGTCGAAGCAGAAGCTCGAGTAGGAACTAGAGCTTTGCCTACCTTAACTAACTTCATGGTTAATATAGTGGAGGTCAGTATTAGTACCAACTTCTTTCTCATATAGTAGAACATGCTACTTGTTGGGAGGTTTCAACTTGACAATTAGCTGTCATTTTTTTTCACTAAAGGGGCTCTTGAACTCTCTTTATATACTTTCAAGAAGAAGGCAACATATAAATATTCTCCAGGATGTTAGTGGAATAATAAAGCCTGGCAGGTACTTATGCAAATGAACTTTTTTCTATTTATTCACAGACTGGCTAGAGCATAATTAGCAAGCACCTTTGCTACCAATATAATGTTACAATTTCTTCATTGCAGGATGACATTGCTTTTGGGCCCTCCAAGTTCTGGGAAAACCACACTATTGTTGGCCTTGGCTGCAAAACTTGATCCAAAATTAAAGGTTAGGAAATTAATGAGAAAAATTATATTTTTAGAGATATTTCCATGTTTTTGCTCTATTTTTCAATCTCGGATCTCTATCTAGTATGTGACTTCTTAATCAGTTTTCTGGAAAGGTGACTTATAATGGTCATGGGATGGATGAGTTTGTACCCCAAAGAACTGCTGCTTATGTCAATCAAAATGATCTTCATGTTGCAGAATTGACAGTCAGAGAAACCTTGGCCTTCTCAGCAAGAGTCCAAGGAGTTGGAAGTCGTTATGGTTAGTTAACACGAATAAGAATAACTTTATCTTCTATTCATTATTAAATTCTATATTGAAGCCACATGGTGACCTTTTAGATAAAATTGAAGTTTTTAGTGTGTGTAATAGTTTTATCTTTCTGCAGATTTGCTTGCAGAATTGTCCAGAAGAGAAAAAGAGGCAAATATCAAGCCTGATCCAGATATTGATGTCTACATGAAGGTAACAAAGAGACCATTGTTTGTAGGGATGTTTTTTATCCCATTTGACTTGCAACCCTTAGCCTTTTACATTGTTGAATAACTGGTAGACTTTCAAACCAAAGAGAGAAAAATATGACAGCTTAAGGATTATAATATAATACCTGTTCAATTTTGGTTATTCCTTTCTTCAACATCATTCTATTAATTTCAAAAATTTCTCACCAAGAAAAAGTAAGTGATAAAATAGTTGTAATGAAAAACAAAACAAAGCAGATAATTTCAGTTATTGTTAAAAACAATGTGCAACAGAGATAAAGAAAGTAGAAGAATGAACACACAAATTTAATGTGAAGAGCCTTAGACAGGAAAAAAAAAACCACAGGCAGAGGAGAAGCAACTCACTATATTGAAAATTATTATCAGAGATATACCAAGAGAGCTACCGTAAAAGCAATTCACTAGCCCAAAAACATACCAAAAAAATCTTCAAAATTTTTCCTCGCCAAATTGGTCACAGGTAACGCAAGCTTTTGATGTGTGCCAAGAAATCGGATCACCAACTCTTATAGTTTATTTCAGCAGTTAGTTATAGGTGCATCAACCATTTCTTTTTTCTCATACAGATAATTAAGTTGTTGTCCTTTTCTCTCACAATGCTCAGGCTGTAGCAACTGAAGGGCAGAAGGCAAGTTTGATAACAGATTATGTCTTAAGGGTAACTCTAAACCTTCTCAAGTCATGATGACTTCATTAGAAAAAATTGTTTTAATGAAAAATGTTATTTCTTTGGTATAAATTTGCAGATTTTGGGACTGGAGGTCTGTGCTGATACTATTGTAGGAAATGCAATGTTAAGAGGGATCTCTGGCGGACAAAGGAAACGCGTTACAACAGGCAAAACAATTATATCTTAAAGTGAAAGAGT